ACTATGTTCTCATTTACCATACAAAACCAATTGCTAGAAAAGTACATCACGTTTGGTAGATGGTCAGTGAAAACAAGAAAAACCCTCAATGAGATGGATTGACACAAAAGCCATGATACAATAAGATCAAACACATCGAAGATCCTGGAGATGGTGCAGGACCCGGGCAATGTTTCCCTCTGTTATGGATATGGTCATCAGGAGTCCGAGAAGCCTCTACGGCAACTAACAACCAGCACCACCATACTTATTTGACACCCGGACATAAAACGACACCCGGACATAAAAAACAGTGAATTTTCTGAGGTGAAAATGCAACAAATGAGAAATAAAAACAACGGAACTACCATAATGGACTAATAATGCATTTCATAATAACTAATGATGTACAATGTATGGTACCCAAAAGGAACTGTAACTAAAGAAACACATTCATTCATGATTTATATGCATGATATCAGAAGAAAAATCTATAGTTACATTTTTATTAGCACTAAGTTAATTTTAATGGACTAATTAAATACAAAGTAATAACAAACTACAAGTTAAATCATAGAAATTATTATTAATGTTATCAGAGTTAGAATTTAGTTTAATATCCCCAATACTTTATAGTTAGTAAAGTAAGAAGTAAGTGCAAGTAGTTTCTGTTTTAAATTAAAAAATCAAGCAATGGCTCATTCTAATAATACAAATTTAAAAATTACAATTCGTAATACTACTTTAGAATATTATTTTTAAATAAAAATTATCTAATTGTTTTAATTTGCAGTGTTTCCTTATCTTTCCTAGTTTTTCAATAATCGTCCATTTATTCATCTCTCCATCTGTCTGTTCAACACATATTTGTTACACATCAGGAGCAAGGCTAAGTACAAGAATTCTAACACATGTATATAATAATGTTCAGTAGACAGACCTCCTTGGCATATACAATCTCACTTAATGAAAGATACAGACTAAACTCAATAACTACTTAGTCATGCATAATTCTAAAGGATTATCTGAATTTTTAAAACAAGACTTAAGAGAAACAAAGGAATTTATGCAAAACAAAGTGGTTTTTGCTTGACTATCGGTGATACGGAAACCCTGGTGGTGTAGTGGCTAAGAGCTCTAGCCGCTAACCATAAAGGTCAGCAGTTCAAATCTACCAGGTGCTCCTTGGAAACCCTATGGGGCAGTTCTACTCTGTCCTATAGGATCACTATGAATCAGAATTGACTCGACAGCACCGGGTTTGGTTTGTTTTTCAGTAGTTGATACACGAGCTGATTTTTTTTTGAAAAGTGAAGTATACAAAAAGAAAAATTAGAAAATTTAGAAAAATGGAAATGTAGACTCTTCTTATTATCCACAAAATAAACTATGCAAAAATGATGCTAGATATTAAACTATTCAATCCATTCTTAGACTGTTTAAAGTCTAAAAACCAAAACAAATGACGGCATATACATGTATATGCACAATTTATCTATTTACTTGTTTATTTGAGGTCACAGGCATTCTTTGGAGAAATCTTCTACATGTACTAGCAATAGATAGATTACGCTTTACAACTGTTCACAGAGAAAAGCAACAACTATTGTGCAATACCTATTTCTCTCTACGATCACCCCCAAAAACTCCCAAACAAGCACATCCATCTCTCTCCCACCTTGAGATATAACATCTTTATTTCACACACTTTGGTGAATTTTTATTTATTTCACTAAATATATGTTTTCAAAAATATATCTATGGTAATCTGAAGAGAAAATTTCAATGAATGACCTTCCATGATTATTTATTCCTGAAATTTGTAAATTTCACTTTCAGCTCAACATTCTAACTCCCCTGTCTAAATTTACATTTTGACCAAAATATTCATCCTAAACCACATCTCAAATCATGTCAATCATCTGTTTAAAAATTTAAGGGCTCCTTATTTTCTAAAAATAAGAGTCTGACATCCTCCACATGGCCAAGAGGGCCTAGGTAAAGAGAGTTTGTCCTAGTCTCCCAATTTCATCTCTTGAATCTCCTCTACACAACCTCTGAGCCTGCGCATCCATCCATCCATATGTTTGTCATTTTCCTCCCTAACCCAAACATCCTACTCCACTTATGCCAGTCACAATGTTATTCATCCCCTACCCAGGTGAAATATAATTTCTTTCTGAAGCTTTCCATGTCAGAAGTAATCTCTCTCTCCTGTGTACCCCTTCCGTTTGTTCCTCTAACGGGATGTACCACATCCTATTTGTTGTTACAACTATTTGACATATCTCCTCCAAGTTACAACATCCTGAAAGCAAGACCATTTCTTATTTAACTTCATAACTACGCAACACTAAGTTTAGTTTTCTGTGCCTAGTAAGGTGACAGAGGAAGCTCGTAATTAGAATTCATTGTTTTTAAGCATCATGACTGAGTGGTGGCTCTAATCTTATACTCACATATTTCTCTGTTCTTTCTCTATCAAATATGACCCCCAAAAGTCATACTTAATGATTGCTATATTTGAAGTTTCAATATCATAGCTATTATCATGAGCAAATATGTTAGAAATTAGAGTTTTCTAGAGTATGATGTAGACCAATCCACTTATGGGAGGAAGATATTTCAAACGGGCTATCAGTTGCATTTGTCCAATGGTCTTCAGTCTCCAATCGAATCATTTCTCAATTTCTGTTTAAATAAATTTATGTTTAAAGAACAAGAAACATTACCATCATGAAAATGCAGAAAAATGTATACATGTATATCATGACTATGGTATGTATAGTTACTGGTTATGGAATATGCATTTTAATTAAAGATTGTTCAATATAATGCACTGTATCTCCAATTTTTCTATTGTTGGGCCCAGAAAGTATTGGGGTACCTAAATTTATAGTACATGAATTAGGCAAATACTGAGGAAATTTTTAAATGTATTAAGTAGCAACAGGATGCAAAACAACTGTGTATCTAATTTTAAAAAATAACTCAAAATGTGCAATGGTCCACAACAACACATTCTTCTCATTTCCCTGGTTATGTTAATACTGTATATGATTCTCAAGGGCCGCATCGATACTTTTTCTCTTCTATTTGACATCCAATATAATGAATTTTGACATAATAATCCAGTAAGTATTCAATTAAATTTCTGTACTAAGCTGCCTTCTCTAGAGAATGTGAAGGTCCCAATGGAGAAAATCACTGATTACAGGGAGTGAATCTTAAATATATTAACTTGTTCCCTGAAGACTATAAAACATACTTTTTGGACAGAAGTATTTTTATAAAGTTACAAAAAAGTGAAATATATATAATGTGAATTTCTAATGTAATGTAAAGTCACATTCCCACTATGTTTCTCTCTGACACCTTAACTATTGTATTGGAGTTGTATACAAATAACCTAAGTGATAAACTTTAGAAGTAAGTAAATCTTTTTAAAAACCATATACTGTAATTTTCAAATCTTAAGTGTGAAAAATTTATGAAAATATAGTTTGGTGTGATCAAAGATTTCTTTTTACAAAACCTACAGTAGTACATATTTTTAAATATATCTTGCTAGACAGTATTTAAACAGTAATTTTGGTTTATTTGTATATGTCCACATATCTATAAATTACTGCAATGTTTCTCAAAATACTGTACATAAAATACCAGCAGAGGCTCCAAACCTCCACTCCAGACCAGGGCGTCAGAAAAGTCTTGGAGTGAGAATCCTAGTAGTATGCATTTAAAACGTGCTTGTCCATGTGACTCTGATGTACACTAGAGTTGTGAAACACTGACCTATTGGGGCTATCTAAAACCATGCCCTGTGATTTATATGCATCTTCTCAACGTTACATATTCAAAAGAAATGTTGCCAAATTATTTCTTCCAGAAAAATATTATTTTCAAATACTCATTTTTACATTTCGTAAAAGGACACTCAACAGGGAAACCTGTTTCCAAATCCCGTGATATTTCAGCTCAACTAACAAACGAAAACCAAACCCTTTGCCGTCGAACGGATACCAATTCATAGCGACATTATAGAACAGAGTAGAACTACCACATAGGGTTTCCAAGAAGCAGTTGGCGGATTCGAACTGCCGACTTCTTTGGTTCGCAACCGAACGCTAAACCACGGTGCCACCAGGGCCCGAACAAACAAAGAGTCGTTTTTTTCTCCTTATTCCCTGTTGTCCTAAAGGGTTCCGTGGTAAAACTCGTGATACCAGCTCCGCACCTCGGAACACTGACCTCCGCTTTCCAAAGGTTCGAATACTGAATCCTATCTGCATGAACATAAGCCCTAAGGACACTCTGCGCACTTGCCTTGACTCTCCTCCAGGCAGCTGCCCCTTTATAGAGCTCCTCCTGCAGCACAGGCACTCTTGTTCCCAGAGCCGGCGCGGCCCCGTCAGCACCACGGACAGCGGCCGGCGGAGCGGGCTTCCGGGTTTCACTGTCTATGAGCTTGCCCTGAAAAAGGCCGCTGAGACTAAGGACACTGACCTGAGACACCCCTGGAACACACCCACCACCACTCCTCGTTCTCCTCTCCAGCTGCCAGAATCTCTTCCAAACGACATCAAAGGAAACCTTAAGTACCTCTTACCTATAATATGTGAGCCACCCCCACATTTCTTCTCCCCAGTTCCCAGCGCCTGTTGCTACGGAGGCATTCGGGAAGAGCGAAACCAGGTTACAGACCACTGAAGAAGCTGGGAGCTCGAGGGCGGCAGTGAAAGCGGAGCGGTAGGCCAGCCCAGGACCCCTTCCGCAGGAAGGGTGCGCCCTCTGCAAGGCTTCCATGCCAACATCGCTCCCCGCGCAGACCAGGTGAACGCGGTGGGGTGGGGGTGGGGAGCCGAGAGAGCAGCAGGCCAGCCTCCTGAAGCCCGCTTCTTCTGCTGCCCGGGAAGCTCGGCACCGGCGAAGGAGGCCTCTGGCCAAGCACTGCGGACTCCTGTGGTCCCAGACAGTGGGACAGGGGCACGGGGACCACCCTGGGAAGGGCGGGCACTCACCATGTTGACTTCGGAAACCATGTCGATGCTGGCGATGTCGATGTTCATCCCCACGCAGACCGGAGGACCTGCGGCGAAGCGCACGACACGGAGATCAGCCAGGCTGGAGTATGGGGAGCGAGTGGCCTGAGGGTGACGGGCAGGCCAGGGAGGGGAAGCAGGCTAAGCGCCCCCAACCCCTCCCAGCCCGCCGCAGCTCCGCTGATGCCTCCCCGCCCCACACACACCCAGGCCGCCAGCCCGGTGGGTTGCGCTTCCCGCAGCGGCCGCGCGCACCCCACTTACCTCCGAAGTCGGGTCTTAGGCGAATGTCGTAGCCTTTCAACAGCTTGTCCACCGTCTCCTTCACAAAGGACATGTTCCCGGGATCGTTCACGCTGGGGGAGGGGCGGGGGGCACAGAGAGGATCAGGCGGCGGCTCCCCAGCCAGCGCCCAGCACGCCCGCCCGCACCCGGCCCGCTGCCCGACCTGCTTCCGGTTAAAACCCGCTACCGTACCTCTGTGCACAGCACACCACCGCCACCAGCACCGGGGCCGAGAAGATGCCGAAAAGCCTTCCTCCCGCAAAGCCCCACATCCCTTCGCCGCGCCCCGGCACGGGGGAGGGGGCGCCCCGCCGCCGTCGCGACCCGCAGCCGGGGCTGCTCCTGCTGCTGCTGCCGCCGCCGCCGCCGCCGCGCTGGCCTCGGGCGGAGGAGGACAGAGGGGGAGGGGAGGAGGGGGAGGAGCGCGACCGGGAGAGGAGGAGCAGTGGGGAGGGACCGAGGGGGAGGAGGCAGTCGGGCCGAAGGCGGAGCCGGCCGCGTCGCGCGCCCTGCCCTCTCCAGCGCTCTCCGTGGCCCTGCTGTCTCCGCCGCAGGGCTCTCACCCGCCCCAGCAGCCGCCGCCCGGCGACTCGGGGGGCAGGGACCAGAGCGGCAGCTGCACGGCGCAGGACTGTGTCGGAAGTCGGGCCAGCTACCAGCTCCGCGGAGCTCGCCGCAGCCGGCCGAGGGAGGGGACGGCGGCGGCGCGGACGGCCATGGTGGCGAGGGGAATACTACTCGCACCACGCACGAACCCCTCACTACGACCCCCGCCCAGCTGCAGCGCAGCCCCGAGAGCCAGTGGGCGCTGCACAGCGCCCCTGCCCCGAGACTGTGCGCGGCCGCCACAAGGGGGAAAGTTGCGGGGCCCAGGAGAAGCCCCTGCCGCACATGTGGGGCTCAAAGCCTTGGGTCGCGAGAGTCCAGGAGAGCCAGATGTGCAGTAAGAGGGCCGGGAGCCCGGAGCACATGGCGCTGCTCCTCCGCTGTGGAGGATCGCTCCCCTACCTCACCGACTGTTCAAGCGGCGAAGTGGGATCCCCGCCCCCGCACTCCTCCCCTGCCTCCCCCAGCCCCCCGGGCTTTGCTGCCCAACGCATCTTCCAGCCCCTTGCATCGCGGCCCGATTAATTAATTACGCAACATAAGACCATTTTTAAAAATTGGTTCCTTGAACCATCCCTCTCACCGCCACCACCCACTCCGAGCATTTGATGTGCTTACTGGACCCTCGCTGGTCAGGAGAATATAGTGATAGAGAATGCGTAAGAAGAGGTCTGAATATCCGCATTTTATCTTTTGTGGGGTTAAGTCTGGCCAGGTATAGGAAAATAACGTGCCTTTTCTGGTCCAGCCCTGACCTGTTTATGGTTCTTAATGTAAGGCACGTGTTGAGGGAAGAATGATACTCGTTTTCCATATGACAGACCCCATCCTTGGGTTCTCATCAGAAGGCCAATGGCTCGTTGGCCAAGAAATAGACCAAATTCCCCAAGGTCCACCCTACCCTGTGTATCAGCACCATGCGCCTAACGTGTCTGCTTACACACGTCATAAGTCGTATCTTTTTCTTTAGTGCATGAGCCTCAATAAAGTTTCTCTGTGCCTCAGACTTCTAATATTGAAGAAATGGTTACACAACCCTACAAATACGTTCTCTTCTGTGTTCTATAAACCTCCTTGTGCCACTTCAGAACTTGTTATTAGGTGCCTTCCAGTCGATTCCGACTCATAGCGAACGCTGTGTACAACAGAACAAAACACTGCCCAGTCCTGCATCAGCCTCACAAGGTCCACTCTACTTTGAGGAGGCAGCTCTTCCGAGTTGTATTCTGAGTGTCTTTCAGTCTGAGGGGCTCATCTCTTCGCACTATATCAGCCAATGTTCCACTGCTATTCATAAGGTTTTCAATGGCCAGTTTTTTTTCAGAAGTAAACCCCCAGGTCCTTTCTCCTAGTTTGTATTTTGTCTGGAAGCTCCCCTGAAACCTGCCCACCATGCATGACCCTGATAGTATTTGAAATATCAGTTGCATAGCTTCCAGCATCACAGCAACATGCAAGCCACCACAGTAGAACAAACTGACAGACAGTGGTGAATTCCAGGACTTAATGAATGGTTAATAATAGATAACTGCAACCCTCTGTATTGACTCATTTTTCTATAAAGCTTAAACTTTTCTTTCTACGGTCAAGACTTTATGTAGATAAATATCTAAATCTAGACTGTTATTCTCAAATTGGCCTTTCTTGTGCATTAATTTTAAATATCACTGCCTTTTCTCAAAAATCAGCAATTTTATTTTTGGAATGAAAATGTGACCACAGAACCTGAAAGGTAGACATTAAGATAGGTTCAGGGGTAAATATAGCTCCCTAACTATTTTCTGGAAAAGTCTATTCACAACTACTGTGTATTCTGTGTCCCATTAATGTGTAATGGAATTATCTGGAAAATGAGATCCGTATTACTATACCACCCTATATTCATTCATTTAGTTTATTTCTCCTATTTACATATACCACTTTTAAGGAAATGCCTTGCTGGGGATCATGGCTATAAAAAGTAGACAATAAGAAAAGTTATTCGAATAAAGCCAACAACATAGCAAGAATTATCCCAACCCTATTATTTATGTGTTGTAAGACATGCAAAGGCACATTACAAACGTTATTATTATACAAATGTGCACCACCTCAGACATTGGTTTCAACCTGTTTCTAGGGGTCTTGGCTTTATTTATTGCCCCAGCTGCTGCTTCAGCAGCTACTCTGCAAGAGCTCTGATCAACTTTATACTGGAACAAGTCCACACCCCTCACCTCCTGTCTACATCGCTTATCTCTCACTTCTCATCCTTGGGCTTCTCAATTGGCAATGAGATCTGAAATAACCCAGGGCCCTCTCAGAACCTCAAGTGTGCAATCTGAAATGGCAGGGAAGATAGCAATCCATAGAGTGAAACTTTGACTAATGGAACATGGGAGCTAGTGGGAAAATGGTTGTCCCTTTATCACCCCATCAGAAATGTCCTGAAATGCAGTAGTTTCCTTGGCCTCTCAAAGGACAATCCCACAGGATGGAAGCACCAGCTACACTTTATATCAACACTGGCAGCTTGGTAACGTAGCCTTCTGTTTTCTCTTCTTCCATGCCTCAATCCTCCTTTCCTTCACTCTTGCTTGCATTGATATTGGATGTCCCAATAAAGTAGATAAATTCAAAAGCGGTTGCAGCAGTACATCAATAGGGAACTGCCGGAAATTCAAGCCACATTCAGAAGAGGATGTGGAAGGAGGGATATCATTGCTAATGTCAGATGAATCTTGGCTGAAAGCAGAGAGTACCAGAAAGATGTTTACCTGTGCTTTATTGACTATGCAAAGGCAGTCATCTGTGGATCAGAACAAATTATGGATAACATTGCAAAGAATGGTAATTCCAGAACACTTAACTGTGCTCATGAGCAACCTGTACATAGATCAAGAAGCAGTTGTTCGAACAGAACAAGGGGTTACTGCATGGTTTAAAGTCAGAAAAGGTGTGTGTCAGGGTTGTATCTTTTCACCATACTTATTCAATCCCTATGCTGAGCAAATAATCCGGGAATCTGGACTATATGAAGAACGTGGAATCAGAATTGGAGGAATACTCATTAACAACCTGTGATATGCAAATGACACAACCTTGCTTGCTGAAAGTAAGAGGACTTGACACACTTACTGAAGAACATCAAATCTTCAGTACTGGATTACACTTCAACAAAAAGAAAACAAAAATCCTCACAACTGGACCAATAATAAGCAAGATCATGATAATCAGAGAAAATATTGAAGTTATCAAGGATTTCAGTTTATTTGGATCCACAATAAATGTCCATGGAAGCAGCAGTCAAGAAATTAAACAACGTATTGCATTGGGCAGATCTGCTGCAAAAGATCTTTTTAAAGTATTCAAAAGCAAAGATGTCACTTTGAGGACTAAGGTGCTCCTGACTCAAGCCATGGCATTTTCAATGGTCTTATATGCATATGAAAGCTGGACAATGAATAAGGAAGACTGAAGAAGAATTGATGCATTTGAATTATAGTGTTGGCAAAGAATATTGAATATACCATGGACTGCCAGAAGAAGTACAGCCAGAGTGCTTCTTGGAAACAAAGATGGAGAGATTTCATCTCACGTGCTTTGGACATGTTGTCAGGAGAGATCAGTCTCTGGAGAAAGATATCATGCTTGGTAAAGTAGAGGTCAGTGAAAGAGAGGGAGACCATCAACGAGATGGATTGACACAGTGGCTACAATGATAGGCTAAAGCATAGCAAGGATTGTGAGGATGGTGCAGGACCAGGCAGTGTTTCTGTTGTACATAGGGGCGTTATGAGTTGGAACCTACTCGAGGGCACCTAACAACAACAATAAAGTAGTAGCACATAAATTTTGTCTCAGGATAAATTTTGTCACAGGATATATTCTGTTGAACTCAAGCTAAAGCTAAGCCACCAGCCAACTGGCAAATTATTAAAAGTGTCATCTATAATGCAATCTTCTTATACGATGAAGACAGTAAAGGAGGAAGACTGTGGTAAGTGTGCACAAGAAGAATCAAGATGCATTGCTATAAGGTGCTCACACATTGGCTTACTCCTGTTCATCACAGTCCCTGTTCAGCCAGGACAATGCAACACCAAAGAGGGCCTTCCATGCAGGCTGCCAACCTGGAGGGTCAGATGAGCACTGAATCCTAAGCAAGCTCATGCTTCCACCCTTTTGCCAAGATTACTAAAACCAAGAATACTTCTATAATTTTACTAGATGGTGATAAAATATTAGCCAAATTAGTAGGAAATCATTAGTTCAGTTCTTACATTCATTTATTCTCAATTGAAAGAGGAAAAGACTCCAGGAGTCCCAAGATGGGTAAATTTTTATGGCAGAAGGAAAAGGAGGCAAGTGCCTTTTTTCTCTCCATAGTAAATGGCTGGAAGAATGCTTTGGGGCCCTTAAAAGAGGAAGAAGAAGGGAATGAGAAAGTTGGGAGTGTCATATAATCACTTTACCTAGCCCATGGTTTTGCATTTTGGCTGCCCTGAATGCCTTTTACCAAATTCTGTTTTGTTCAATCATAATTGCCTCTTACAGAAAACTAATTTGTCATTTTAAACAGTATCAACATTTTTGAAGCTCCTTTCAAAAAATAATTCAGTTAAGTTTTAGGTATAACAAAATTAAATAAAATGTTACATATAGAGTTGGACGAGTTTTGACAAATATATAAACCATTGTACATTTTCACAACCCCTAGATTTCCCTGGTGACCTTTGACCACCATGTCACTCCCAGCCC